AAAGAGTTAAATACAGACCGTCAGCTGTGTTGCGGTTACCATTGGTTCTGGCGCACACCGCTGGGATCGCCACGGTAGTTACAGCGTACGCGCTACGTAAAGTACAGCGGTGTGCGCCGGAACTTATGGTAACCATGGTAACCGCAGCACGGCTGACGGTCTATATTTAACTCTTTTTGTCTATGCTTACACTCAGCAATCTACTTTACACAACCAACTGCTGTAACTGATACTTCTACAATTGTTTGATTGATTGAAAATCATTTACAATATGAATTTTTAAGTTTATTATTAAATTATATCCTTCCCCAAAAATTAAAGTCGTCCTACCATCACAGTACCATTGAATTATGATTCGTTAAAGGAGACATCTCATTACGTGAACCAAATGTACCGTTGACTTTGGATACTGCAAGTAGACTAGACATCCCGTTTACGTGATATTAATGCACCATTGATATTGGATACTGCAAAGAGACATCTCATTTATGTTAACCATAAGGAGCATTGACTTTGGATACTGTAAATATACTTCCCCTTTACGTATAACAAATGTAGCATTACCTTTGGGTTCTGCAAGTAGACATTCCATTATTTATGTAAACCAAACGTACCATTGAATAAGGATTTGACCAGGAGACGTCTCATTTACGTGAACCAGATTTAGCATTGACTTTGGATGCGTAGCAGTTAGTTAAACAAATTGATTAATATACCTTTATACCATGCATCCATCGTTGACCAGTAGTGACTGGATAGATTTTGTCAAAACAAAAGATTTTAGTTTTAATCTTTAGATAGGCTATTTAAGTGGTTAACATGGCTGTAATTACGAGTTCCATTCCATACTTGCTCCGCTCAATATTGCAAGCATACAACTGCATTGCACACCTAGTATATTAGCCTTTTTGACCTTTTAAAATTAGTTATACATTTCATTATTCATTGCCAATATCTCTAATGTAAGTTGTCAATAGCATGGGATGAAATGCGTAAATGTGCTATTAAAATATATCCAGAAACAAGTAAACTACAACAACAGTTTTCATTTTCTCCATAAGAATAACATGGGAATTTTAAATTTACACTTTTTTGAATTTTCTCCACAATTATTAAGCATACAACATGCTTTACAAAATCCCTTCCATTAAGATAAGAATCCTTCAGTGAAATCTTGAATGATCCAGGACGGCTGACCCACTTCTCTGACAGTTTGCCCTCGAACACGATGTCCACACGCTATTAGTCTGCGAACTGTACCAGTATCGAGATAGGGACCCATCTTTTTGGTTCCCTGATAGTCTTGGTACTACTGCATTCTGGGTGCGTAATGCAGCTAAAGTACAAGTGCGGGGTCACGCGAAGGACCGAGGTTTCGTTTGGGTTCGGTGCAGGGATGTCACTTACTTCAGTGTCTACCTCACTCCCAACGAGGCCATCCGTGACTTTCGTGAAAAGATAGACTGCCTGGAAGAGAGCGTGCGGGATAACACAGGACTTGTCGTTGTGGAAGGGGACTTTACTGTAATGCTAGGGCTGTTGAGTGGGGAATGACCCTCACCAATTCCCAGGGCAAGTACATTCTGGACTTTGCTGCCAGAGCCAGACTCTTCGTCAACGAGGGCAACACGCCAACTTTCCGCCACCCTGGGATGCGGGGTACGATCCCAGACATTACTCTTGCATCTGAGTCCCTTTTGCCGAGGATCAGAGCCTGGAGAGTCCTGGAGGATTACACGGCCAGTGACCACCATTGTATAATTTTTAATGTCCTGGATGGTCATCAGTGACAAGTAGCCGCGTTTCGTCAAGTGTCCGTAAGATTTAACATTAAAACCTCTCGCTAACTGGCGTGGCTCCCGCAGAGGCGTTAGTTTCATCCACGATGGAACTGATTGTCTCGGCCTACAATGAATCTATGCCTCGTAGGAGATACCGGTGTAATAAGCGTGTATATAGTTTTACTGGTGGACTGCCGAGATTGCGGAATTGCATCGAGCAGCATTGAGAGCCAGAAGACTTGCTACCAGGGCTAGAGAACCGCTTGACATACGTCGTGTAAGTCGGATCCTTATAGGGTGGCTAGGAGGTCTCTTCGTCGAGCCATCAATCGAAATGCAGTTGCTGGGTGACATTAAGGGACGATGTCCATTCCAACCCATGGGGCCTGGGCTACAAAGTTGTAACCAGGAAACTTGGCAACCGATCTCCACCTTCCTTCATGGACGGGGTAACCATGGAGAGGATAGTCGAGTCCCTTTTCCCGGCTCACACGTTGCGTCCTGCCCACTGCGGGATTTCGGAAGGGTGGACAACATCCCACTTTTCAGCTCTGAAGGGATGGAGGCAGCCGTCCTATCCCTGAAGAACAATAAGGCTGCTGGACCCAATGGGGTACCCGGCGAAATGAAATGAAATTAATTAAATGAAAATCGTCTACTCTTGAGCGTTTTTCATATTACAAAATGTTTTTCAAAACAGCTCACGTCAACTTAAATAAAATAAAAAAAATGGCAACTTTCAAATCTTAAGTTAGGCTAATTAAAAATTAAAATATACGCGTCCTCAAGAAGATTTTGACTACCAACCCCTTGATCCTTTTGAGCATGCACAATGCCTGCCTGGTTGAAGGTCTTTTTTGCCGATGTGCGAAATCCATTTAATTCAGCGAGGTGGTGTGAAATGCTGGAATGTGAGAACACTCGTGCGCATAAAAGAGCATTATCTCCGGTTCCACCTCCTCATGTATGACACTACGGACGGCCCGCGGAAGATGAGTTTCACTTCTGGTGCTGCCCAAGGTTCTATACTCGGACCATACCTCTAGAATGTCACTTATGACAGCCTTCTGAGGTCTGAAATGCCTGAGGAAACTGTATTGGTTGGGTACGCTGATGACGTTGCAGTTTTGATAGCTGCACATAGCGTTGGGCTGGCTCAGCTAAAGCTGAACCGAGTTATGCTTACCATAAACGCATGGATGGCAGACCACGGGCTCTCGCTTGCTTTAAGCAAAACCGAGATCGTGATTTTGACAAAAAACGGATTGACACTATCGTTGAGGGTGGGGGCCATCAAGGTCCAAACCGTTTGTTCTGCCAAGTACCTTTGGGTTTTGGTGGACAGCAAGCTTAGCTGACGGGATCAGATCTTCCGTATAGCGGACAAGGCCGCTAGGGGGATTTCTTCTCTTAGATGGTTGGTTGATGGTCAATGTCGGAGGGCCGCGGTCCAGTTGTAGAAGGCTATTAATGTCTTCGGTCCAGTCCGTACTCTTGTACCGTGTGGAGGTGTGGGCAGACGCTCTCAATAAGGAGGTATACAGGATGCAACTCGCCCAAGTACAGTGTCAGACAGCACTAAGGGTAGCATCTGCCTGCCGAACAGTGTCCGAGCCCGCCGTCCTGGTGGTTGCTGGAGTCAACCCCGTCAAACTTTTGGCAGCGGAGAGAAAGGCATTTTACCACTATTTGGAAAACTTGCTAAAAGAGATTTGGAAAGAGTATTTCTTTCAAAAACTTATAATAAAACCATCCATTTTCGTAAGACTGAGAGTCTTCTATTTATATGTAAAGATTATGAAAGGGTTTTAACCAGGAAAAAACCTTAAAAGGCATACAGTAATGGTCCATTCAAGAGAATATCATTATACATGTTCTGAATGTCTAAAAGTGGTTAAAAACAAACAAAAACATCATTATCACATCCAAACATCACATCATTAAAGAAAGGTTGTGTATTGTTCAAGATTTCTCTGAATATTTGTGTGTGTGTTTACCTAAATGTTCAAAATAGTTCTACAATATAGCACCAGATTTATCTGGATCGATCTCTCTAACTATGGAAATGTGTAATAATGGTTGGTCTAGAATGTTTTAGATAGAATATCCCAGATTCTCCTAAAATGTTCTAATTCTAGATTTTTCTTAAAATATTTCAGAGTACCTATATCCAAAAAGTGTCATCAAAAAAGGTGGACCTACACCACGTTAGCGTGTAGTGTGTGACTTGCTTTGTTCACCGTTGAGTTGGTTCCCGCGTCTCGCTCCTGCCAAGGCGGCTGGGACGGTACTGACCCACGTTACTGTGAACGCCCCTCGCTGTGCTACTATTGTGTGCTTTATGACGTCATGTTCAATTTCAATTAACTTTTAAACTATTTTATTTCAATAATATTAACCTTTTATCTTTGTTCAATATTTCAATTTGTTTCATTCCGGTTCTTGATGGGTCAGCACTGACCCATGTATATGACGTCACATTATGTAGTCATAATCAATTCCAATCAATTGATATACTATTTTATGTTGATTATTTTATGATATTGACTACATATGTCTTTAGAACATATACTTTTAGTGACATATATAATGTATTCAGTGACATTTCCATTTTTTTTCTGACTCTGACTCCTGATGGGTCAGTACTGACCCATTAGTATGACGTCACTTTTTGACGTCATATTAACTTCCGATCGTATTGTATAATATTGTATTTCAATAAGGACACAAAAAGGAATGTTAAACAACAATAAAGTTGTTTAGCAATACAATTTGATTTGATAATTTCCTTTAGCAGTGAACGTGTTAAGTAAAAGAGTTACAACAAGCCAAAAAGGTTTAAACTAAAGAGCAATAAAAAAATACGCAGAGGAATGGCCATAGTAGGCCAATAACAATAACACTTTACAAACAAATGGTTAGAGTTTCAAGAATTATATTATTATGCAAGAGAAAATGAATACAGAATGTAATATTGCAATGCAAGTACACTATGAGGATTAAAATGCAGGTGGGGGAAGTATGAAAAGGAGAGTTCAGATTAATTATGCTAATATGAAATGAGTGATACCTAGACACTTAGATGCTATATTGTTGATTTCAAATGAGTTATTGTGCATTGCATTTTGACCCGGGCAATGCCGAGTTTCACCAACTATTTAACTAGTTCTAACTAGGTATTTCATCTCTTGAAAATTACATAAATCTAATGATTTTCAGGATTTCAACATCTTGGTGGATGATCTTCTGAAAGGCAGTGCAAACTCTAATAGTGATGTAATAGTAGAATCTGAACCGGACACAGAGGAACCTGAAGATAATGTTCAAGACTTAGTAGAGTCTTGGGATGCTGAGCCTAATCCATCTGACACTGAGTCTAATCTATCCGACGCTGAGCGTAATCCATCCGATGCTGAGCCTAATCCATCTGACACTGAGCCTAATCCATCCGATGCAGAGCCTGATCCATCCAATGCTGAGCGTAATCCATCCAATGCTGAGCCTAATCCATCTCATGCTGAGCCTAATCCATCCAATGCTGAGACTAATCCATCTCATGCTGAGCCTAATCCATCCAATGCTGTGCGTGATCCATCCAACGCTGAGCCTGATCCATCCTGTGCTGAGCCTGATCCATCGGATGATGAGATTTCTACAATTCAGGTTAGTTTCAAATGAACAGAGTTTTTATTTGAAAACAATATTGTATTTTGAATTAAATCAGTCATCAAAACTGTTTGCAGATTTGTTGGCAACTAGTGATGTTGAATTCCAAATTAAATCCCAAATATCTAATCCCACAAATCTAAATACAAAAAAATGTTATCCGGAAAATAATGTATACGTTTAACCCTTTCAGTGCTATGAAACGATATATCGTTGTTTTAAAAAAACCCTAAGGGATATAGAGAGGAAGGTTATTTAAAAAAAAAATAGCAAAACGGCCATTGGTGACCTGCATGTTCATAGGATACACTACCAACCACTTAGCTAAAAGATTCGCCCAATCCGATGATTTCGAGGTGTATGTCTAAACCAAGGATTATGAACACCTCACTATGCCCCAGTGGTTGTAGTATATCGCTACAAACACACAGGTCACCAATTATTTGCCACACAGGACGGGATTCGAACCCGAGCAGACGAATGCCACTGGCCAAGTGACACACGCCCTAGCCTTCTCGGCTATCTGTGCTTGAAGACTGGGGAGTCAAAACCCGGTATTTAAGCTGTCGCCACCGATTGCGAACAGATGGCGCTGCAGATAGTTGTTCAATGCGTTACTAGGTAGCAGCACCAGCTAGTCACGGACTATTTAGATGCAATCTTTTAGTTTTAGTAGTAGTAAATGTGTTCCTGAGACTTTGCTGCAAAACATTAGTTTCCCAAAAATTGCTATATTACAATAACCTCGTCCAACTAAATCAGGGTTAAATTCAATATTACATTGTAAACTATATGTCTTTTGATTTTGTGAGATTTCGGTTTCAAATAATGCTATCAGAACATAAAAATTTATAGGAAAACCAGGAAAATTACAACAAAAACTAAGTTTTATTTGATGTTTACTACAAATACCGGGATTTATCTTTCTTATATATTTTCTTATTGTGTTATTATTCAAAATTAGCCTAATTAATAAAACAGTGACAGCATGACAGTTAAAATTCAACAACGGGTAATGGAATTAAAAGGCAAACAAAAAAGTCTTATAAAATATGAATTATTGGCCTAGCACTGAAAGGGTTAATATAGTTTAGTTTATTTTGAGTAAGTTATAAAACTATATAATCTGATTCAGGTTATGATTTAACCTATAAATCTGATACGGCTTTGTCTCTTTATTGTCAAATAGCCAATAGGCTACCCTGTGGAGACCTAAGTACAGGAACCGATATTTTTACTATAAGTTCTCGGTACTGATAGATATGCTATGAACCGGTAGTATCAAGAATTCTTTTGAGGTACTGACACATCACTATTAGTTATTGTACAGTTTTGCTCTAAAAACATGCGCTATGATGATGTACTGTATCTGTATTTTAGTAGGCCTAATAATATTACGTATCTTTAACCGAAAATTTTGAAATTCGGCTAAGGCCTCTTTAACTAGGCCAATCCCAACTTTTTGAAAAAGATCAACATTGTCATATATGAAATCTCAAATAATAGCTATCTGACATTTTCTAACAAAAAACTCATTAATCATTAATTTAAGACAAACTTAGGAAGAATACATTTTCCCCATCCAAATAGTTTCCCCATCTATGGATGGATTTCCTAAAGGTGGATAACAGTGTAGACACTTTCTGATATTCTTTTTTATTTCATCCTCTAACTTTCTATTTTCGTTTTGTACAATTTGAATTGCTGCCTGAAGATTTTTGATTTCCTACTTACTTTGGTCTAGTTCTTGTTTAACAATCTTTGTTAAATAGTCTTCTTTGCGAGATTTCTTGAGTTCATTGTTATATTGTTGTATTAACTGATTTTCCAATCCAACACACTGGGATAATGGTGTAGAGGATTAACCACATACAGTCATTAACCATAGACAATATTTTTACCAATATAAATTAAGCCTATTTCAATGTACCTAATTGGGTTCAATACTCAGCTGTCAGACCATGATGGTCAACTCTTTGTAATAAATAGTAAAAATGATAGTCCTGATAATGCTGTGTTTCTTGAATACTCTAGGAACTTTAGCACTAAAAATATTGATCACTTTATTCAAGCACTTAGCCTTGAAACTTGGCTTGATGTATTTTTTGCTCCTGCGGAGTCAAAGTATGATGTGTTTCACAACATTTTTATGTATTATTTTGAGTAGTGTTTTCCTAAGAAATTATGTAAAAAATATAGACATAGAAGGTGGTTTACTGAAGAGCTAAAGATTGAAAAACAATCAATTAGGTATTGAGTTTGCTAATAATGCTAGAATCCTAAAAAGCAACACTATGTACAAACAACTAAAACAGAAGAATGAAATGTTTAGAAATAAAGTTACAGCTCCAAAAAAACTATAATAAAATAAACAACTCAAATAACATGAACAAAACCAGTTGGCAAATTAGTAACACTGAAGTTAGTAAGGCAAAAGCAGATAACCATATTACTAGTGTTCGTATTAACAATCAATGCTGTTCAGACCCTTATTATTATATGTAATTCATTCAACAATTATTTTACTGATTTGGTTGACACAAACATTGTTCCTAACTTGGGCTGACTAAATCTAAAAAAAAAATACCTTTATGCAGACGATGCAAATCTACCACTAATTCTGAAGAGGAAATTGAAAAGACAGCTAAAGCTAATCTCGATATACTTTCAAATTTTTTCCAAAACAATCAGTTACTTTTGAATCCAGATAAAACAAAGTTCATACATTTTGAGACCCGTCAGACAAGACTTTCAATTAATCCTTCACTAGACATTAATCAGAAACCAGAGAAACCCATTCGAGAAATACAAAATATTAAATTCTTTGGACTTTAAATGGATAAAAACTTTGGAATTCTCACATAAACAAAGTTATATAAAACTGTATCCGGTCTATAACATCTATGAAACAGTTCTTTTTTTATAAACAAACTTTCTCAATTGGCATTAACTGGTGAACACCACCACCACAATATTAGAAACAAAACCAATATTTGCTTTAAACCGCCACAGATTAGAACTTTACAGTAAAAAACCAAGTTAAACCGGATCAAAATTTTACAACAAAATTCCAAGTGAAATAAAATCGGCAAAAAGCATGGTGGGATTTAAGAGGGGGTCTTAAAACATTTCTCATCAACAAGGTATTGTATTCCCTTGATGAACTATAAAATTTTAGAAGGAGCGTTAATTTTTAATTTGTGTAAACTTATGTTAGATTTTAAGAACTTTGTATTTATAGAATGTAAGAACATTTTTATGTAAAAACGTAAAAGAATGACACTATTCATGTACTTTAGTGCTTTATTAATGAATAAAGAAATATTGAATTGAATATATATAAACATTTGAACGAATGGTGTTTTTGGCCTCTGGAGACATCAAAATGAAAAAGGGAATCGGTCCCGGGCCTCGGTCTTACCATGCCACCTACGGTAATACTGTAGCTACTTCCCTGCAGGGAAATTCGTTAAAAACCCATACAAAATCTGTAAATAGTCATTAATGTCATATTTTGTGTTTTATATATCGCCAAAATACAATATTGCACAGCAAATAATATTGTGCAATCATGATTAATTTTTCCAGGAGACTGTTGAATCTGGAAGTGACCATGGTGAGAGTCATTGTCCAAAGAGAAAAAGAAGAAATACCACAAGTAAGACCTTGCCAGTAGTAGCAGCCACATCAAATGAGATCCAAACACTATCTTCAGATTCAGACTCAGAAGAGGTAAGACATTATTTGAGTTGTGTTTAAGTCATAAACTGTTTGCAAATATTCTAGAAAGGTTGGAGGGTTTGAAAATGGAATATTCTTGATTGTTGATAACTTGTCAAGCTTCGGAATTCCCATTTGTGAATTTACACCACCGCAACTCCAGGCCGCGGCCTGTTGGAATTGGCAATGTCGCAAGTAGGGTTTTTTAGGGTCAGACGTCCCATGGCAGACAGGTGACATCAGCTCAATAATTCACACGTTATTCCTTTCTTGCCCTATACATAGTATATGGAGGAAGTATTGTTTTTGTAAAATAACGGAGAAATAAGATTTTCTCGAAAATGGCCTGAACGATTTTGAAAACATTTAGTATGTTTTAGACCTTTAGGTTCTGAACAAAATGGTACAAATCACATTTCCGTAAAAATTACGGTTCAAAAGTTATTGTAACTATTGTGATTTTCTCCTACAAAAATATCATAGTTAGTTACTCCCACAGCTTACCCATGATAATGGTTGTTGACAAGCTTATGGGAGAAAGTATGTGTTAGATTGCTGATAACGTTTATTTAATAAAACATTAGCTACAGATGGTTCATATAGATGGGAAGTCTACTTCAGTATCCAATATAGTTAATGGGGTTTTACCTATTGAACACGCCTGACTTTTGTTTGTGTTGTGAATCCAAGCTAATAACCTTATGTAGTTTTATTTTTATTTTTTATTCTTGATGGATTAGATATTATTTCAAGTAGAATTGCCATTTATTATCAACCCATTGGCATGCCAAATTGCACTACTTGATTACACACAGAGATCTGTTTTTTTTATCTTTTAGTGACCTACAAATGCAACTAATGGGAAAGTAAAAAAAAGACATGACACTTTTCAATATGAAACTGTTTGAAAAAAAAAAGAGTTTATTACTGCAAATAAACTAAAATCTCTAAATAATGACCTTGCCATTTTATTTATCGTGGACAATTTCTCTTAAGTGATGTCATTGACTATTGGATACTTAGTCAAGTGATGTCCATTTAAATCTACACAGGCTTCCCATCTTTACTGTTAACTTGCCGATATTTTTCGTAGCATTGATTGATGAATAGCAACTTCCTCGTGTTTTATGCACAGCTTAAGTTCTTCAGCTATATCGCGGGGCTTTGACAAAAATCTTTAATCTTTAAATAGCACCATAGCCAAAAGTCACGTGATGTAACGTCTGTGCAACAGACTGTTTACGTGCTGAACGTTCATGACTGCAGTACACTTGCACAAACATTTTTACTAATTTACGGTGTTCTAACTGTATGAGGCCTCCCACTTGGCTAAATTTTGAGCACTTTTTTGAGCCCTACTTTCTCACTTTAAAATCACATTTATTAAATAATAGCTATCTGCAACGATGAACTCTGTAGACAATTAATGCAAACAGCTAAGAAACAGCCGTATAAAAACTATCTGGTTTTTATAGCTCACCTCGGCCCTTTATATGAGTTCCTTATTCATTATTATTATAATTTTGTCTCATATTATTATCTTCCTCCTCAGAAATACCCGAAGATAATTTGCAATTATTTATAACCGATCTATTCCACTCTATCCTAAATTAGAGGTAATCGTGACAAAACATAACCTTAAAACTCACACTTGTTTACTAATATTTTTGTTATCCCTAAAGAGGTTAGGAAACTGAAGAAACTAAAAGTTCATCCAATAACTATTGCAGATTCACAGCAAAAAGTTATCGACTTGACAAGTGCTGTGATTCCTCAAAACAATGTCGAACTATTGGCAATGTCCCTGTACGGAATAGTTCCGTCTAGGAATGCCAGAGCACATTAGAAGCGGGATGAAAATGTTCCATCCAACTCCAAGTATGCCATTGGGTTAACAATTGGTGGGTAATGTACTTATATGAATGCTCGCTTGGTTATGAAAAAGCCACCAGCTCTTGAGAGAAGTCTGCAGCTTTTTGATCGCTTGAAACTAGGTCCAGCTGTCCTTGATCATTGTGCTTTTGTGATGTGTCTGTTGCAGTTTTTATCGGTTTGGTTTTTGTTTCATCAGTTGTTGGCCTTTGATTTGAATAAAATTACAACCCTCCCATATTTTAGTCTAAATTAATTAGGCTAATAGTTATTTTCTTTGTTAAAGAATTCTTGTTGTTGGTGGCAGGTTTTTTTGTTCTTATCGACTAGGGATTATTGCAGGTTAACCTTCAGATTCACTTGTAACTGATAGAAAATAGTGCACTAATTATTTAAATAACTGTAGAAATCAGTTACTATTGATTCCTAACGCTTATAAGTATTATGAAATGGTGATAGAAAAGAAAATTTTTTGTAGTAAATGTGAAAAATGTTGCAGGATGAAGATACTTCTGCTCCAATACCTGGAGAAGTATGCACAGGAATACAAGACGGTATTTTGTGTCAATGTGAAAGATGTCAAATGTGTGTGAAGAAAATTGAACGTTCTATTGATAAAGATGACACTAGTAAAGACAGCCATAAACCATTATCTTGTAATATTTGTAATCTGAGATTTATTTACAAAAGCAGGTTGGAAAAACATTTAAAGGTTCACAAAGGACTAAAGTTGTTTCCATGTGATATCTGCAATAGAGCATTTGCACAAAAAGGTGGCCTGAAAGCTCATATAGAAAGAAAACATTCAACAAACAAATGTAAAAGAGTGCAAACAAAAAAAGAGATTTGTAATATTTGTAACAAAGAAATCTCTACCCATCGCCTTAAAAATCATATTGAAACAGTCCATTTTCGTAAGATTGAAAGCCTTTTATTTAGATGTAAAGATTGTGGAAAGGGGTTTAGCCATAGAAAAAACCTTAAAGTACATACGGATGCTGTCCATTTAAGGGAAAAACAATATAAATGTGCTGAATGTCATAAAGTGTTTAAAAACAAACCAATACTTAGTTATCACATTCAAACATCACATCAACAAAGAGAAGAATACATATGTGCAATATGTGATCGTACTTATTATACTAAAAATAGTTTATCTCTACATATAAATATACACTCAGGAACTACAGTTGTTCCTGTATGTTGTGAAATTTGTGGTAAAGCAGTTAAAAATGAATATAAACTGAAAACACACATGCTTGTACACAATGATGATCACAAGTTTTCCTGCCAAAATTGTGGAAAATTATTTAAACGATTACATAATTTACAGCAGCACGAGCATACACACAGAGATAACAGACCTCATGTCTGTAATATATGTGGTCAAACTTTCAAACTAAGAACCCATGTCAAACAACACATGGCTGTCCATGGGATTATCAAGAATCACAAGTGTGTTGTCTGTGAGAAGACTTTTGCTAGGAAAACCCAACTGTACACTCATATGTCAACTCATGGATTGTGATGAGCGTAAAATAAACAATATACTGTAATATCTTATAGTTCTTATATTTTAAGATGTTAACCCTTTCTGGATGGGTGAAATTGTGACTTAGAACGGGAAAAAATTGTAGGGAAAAAATTGATTTTCCTTATTTGTGTTTTGTTATACATACATAAAATAAACACAATGGGACACTTCATACTGTCAAAATAACTTTTACTTTTTTTAACTATGTGGATATATCCGCTACCCGTCCGCTGATGAGTAGAAATGCTGTGGATATATCCGCCACCTGTCTTTGAAGATATGACCATGACAATGTTAGGCAATAAATAAAGTACAATATGTAAACAATAAATAAAGAAAACGTAGTGTTGAGCGCGAAACGTTGAGGGGGGAGCGTAGGAGAGGTGGGTGGTGCGCGGGAGAGGGGGAGGCACAGGAGAGGGGTAGGCGTGGGAGAGAGGGGGGAGTGGGGGAGAGAGCGCAGCCATGAAAAGAGCAGAAAGTAGCGCCTTGGTACCGCGAAACATCTGGTTACTGCTCAAGCACCTGCCAGTCTGTCTGAAGAGAAGGCTGATATATCCGCTTCCCGTCCGAACATCAAAAAAACCATAAGCGGATATATCCGCCACCGCCAAAGACTTAGGTGGATATATCCGTCACCCGTCCGCGAAGGGTTAACATATCGTCCCCACAATGTATGTAATGTGCATTGATAAAATATCAGTTTTAGCAAATTTCCCATACAGGGAATATTAGCAAATTTCCCATATAGGGAATAAGCTATTACCGTAGGTCTCATGGTGAGACTTGGACCCGGGACCGACTAATTTTTTCGTTTTGAGTCGTCCCATTACAGACTTCAATTTATCTATAGGCTACTTTAAGCAACTTTGTGCACAATGATTTCAAAAACGGCTCCTACGAATTCCTCTGAATTAATTGTTAGAAATATCTTAGTTCCGGTCTAAAAAAATATCCATGCTAGCCACTGTTCTGAAAAAAATCATTTTTTGTTAAAAACTGTAAATGAAATTTTAATATCTCTTACATTGGTCTTATGGAAAGCTAGGTAGTCATTGCAGATTACAAAAACGAAAATGTAAATAAATGAATTGATACAATGTTTACAAAAAAACTAAGTGACTAATTCCATAGACAAAAAGAAATACCAATAATGGTCTAAAATGATGGTCTATTGTCTGTGCTTATTCGCACGTCAAAATAATGTCACAACCCGCTCCCGTTGCAGTTCCAGTATTACAAAATAATGCAAAGGGAGCAGTTGCTTTTTTTCTAAAAGAAGCCATTTTGAATAGCTTACTCACTCAAAATGTTCCTATTTTTAAGCCTTAAAAGAGTTTATTTCAAAAAAGAAAAGATGAGCATATTCAGTTAAGGAGTGAACGTTCTAAAACAGTCGATGAAGCTCAAAAGCCTTTTCTGCTATCAAGAGGATTTTTTTAAAATTTAACAGAAAGTTTGCTTAGGTTGAACAGTTTCATTTCAGAACCCTGCTATCAAACGGAATTTTGAAATTTTACAGCAAGTTTGATTATGTTAGGTTAGTTTAGAATAGTCTCATTTCAAATTTAATATAAGTTGCGGGCAGATAACGTGAAGTTGATTTTAAGAAACCATCTAAAATAGAGTGTCAAATGACTAAATACAGTACAAAAGAACAAGACGTTTCCATAAATACCTTTTTAGCATTAGTTATTTAATACACTTCAAGGTGTTTTATTATGCAATGGGATGATTACAGTCGGGACCACGAAAGTTTGCAGTTGAGGGAGGAGCCTATTTACCATATATGGTTAAATGGTTTTGAATGAACCAATGAGAACCGTGCGGTTTTGCCAAATCTAATAATACCAGCTGATTTGAAAATATTGCTCAGTCCGAGCGCACTTGGGCCCGGGGTGAAGGGGGGAGAGTTTATTGCTCATTTCCAAAAACATATAGGTCGTTTTGGAGGTAGCCTACATCTGTTTCATCTACGTCCTCTTTCTCCTCATTTTCTCTTGCATTTACAGTCAAAATGTTTTAAGTTAAAAACCTATATTCAATCAAATTATCATTGTCCATCTTGGTTATTGTTACAAACAGTTCTCAAAATGTAAACACAACCATTTAAATAACAATAACATTATTTTCTAACCTCAAACAGTTCCGTCAGGCGTCTGAACAATCAAAAATATCGGTGGAAAGAAATCTAAAATTGACTGACGGATGCCAGCAGAGTGACTGACGGGACTGCAACGGATGAGTGTAGATAGCGCTATAGAAAATCCATTAAAGAATATTTTTGTTAACCGTGACGGGCCTAAAGTGACTGGACTGCAACGTGCCGTAACTGATATGTGTGAATCGACCTTTAGTCGGGACCAGAAATGGGAACGGGGGTTTTAGCATATATAAAAGGAGTATAGACACTCTAGTGTCTACTTCTTTTAATCTATGGTTTTAATGGTGTAAACACCACTTAAGATTTCATATCCCACAATTCTGACAGCGTTACATTACAGAGGGGTTAGGCTAGCGTTATAAGGGTGGGCCGTGGGTGGGAGGGGTTTAAAAGTTACGTAAAACGTGGTATGTAATATTAGACTCCCCACCTCCCCCCTTGGACCAGAAACCAGGATTCCTACACTGCCCACTCCATTCCACCCCTCGGGGATTTCCTCAAACACCTTAACCAGAAGTACCTTGACCGTGCCCGCACATCTGAGATGCTTCAACAATTTTTTCAGCCCTACTTCACCAATCCCCCAAGTCTCAGCATCGCCCACCTCACCAATCTCCCTGATCAATAATCCCCTAACTCGCCCAACCAAACCGTAAACCATGACAGGCATTGCTTGCCGTGGCCCACTACCTCAGTCCATCCACAGTTTGCAATAGACAGTATTGTTTAGTTTCATATGTTGTACTTACTTACTTTCCGTGTCCGGAAATCAGACTTCGCTTTTCCAAAAATTAGCTACCAGTACCGATATGGCTTTGTCATTCGCTTGTAAAAGATCATCTAATGTGCAAGACTGGTCTAGGCGTGGACAGATCATCAGATGACCAGGATCCTGAACAGCACTACACGCGCACAAGATGTTTTCTTCGTCTGGTAAGAGACCCCATTTCTGCATGTTTGTCTTTGTTTGCATTTTGGTACCTCGACCCTGATTCGATTTAGAACCTTCCACACCGTGCAATGAAGGCCAGGAGCCAGTTCCTCCCTGGCTGGTATGGGAGGGTTAGTCAACATGTCCTCCCACCTTGCCACCCGATTGCTTGAGAGTGATCCATCCAGGACTCGTGTCCGTGATAAAAAGCTCTTTCTGGACCGAAACCGTTGCTCTGCAGGTTGGTGGCCGTGTAATGGGTGATGAGGGTCTGTCTCTTGCTTAGTCTTTTCTGCGTCGGCAGCGACATCACGTCGAATTGATGGAGGGGCGATCCCTACGATAGGATAGAGTTTGTGTACTGGGGTTGGTTTCAAACACCCAGTTACAATTCGAGCCATGTCATTGACAGCAATGTCAACCTTTTTTGCATGTGACGATGCATTCCATACTGGTGCAGCGTACTCCGTAGCCAACAAACTAAAACAACAACAACACACAACAACAAACAACAAACAAACAAACAAACAAGCTAAAGCTGAGGTGCTGAGGACATTAGGGTTAGCATCCCAGCATCTGCTGGTGAGCTTCCTGATGATATTATTCCTCGCTGAGACTTATCCTCTTGTCGCAATACAATGCGCCTTAAATGTTAGTGTGCGGTCCAGTATGACACCAAGATATTTGGGTGTAGGACAATGCTGAAGACTGTCTCCCCGCCACCTCACTTTGAACTCACGGCCTGCTTCTCTATTGTTTAGGTGAAAGGCACAAACTTGGGTCTTAGCAGGGTTCGGCTTGAGGTGATTTGCGTAATAGTACTGGGAAAGTTCATTTAGAGTCATAGTCAGCTTCTGTTCCACCTCTTCAAAACTCCTACCTTGTGCCACCACCGCCGTATCATCGGCATATATATACTGACGTGTAGCGTTTGGCAACGGTTGGTCGTTAGTGTAAATGTTATAAAGAGCTGGGGCTAAGACGCTACCCTGAGGCAATCCATTTCTTTGATTCCTCCATCTACTTTTCTTGCCTTGAAGGGACACGAAAAACCGCCTGTTATGAAGAAAAGTGCCTATCATTGAAGTCAGCTGATTGTCTTTGATAATAATGTACACTTTTCCCAAGAGTCTTTTATGGTTTACGGTATCGTAGGCAGCTGTTAAATCTACAAAAGCGACACCCGTGATCTGTTTTCTCTTAAACCCATCCTCAATGTGCTAGGTCAGGTTTAAAACTTGGCCACAACAAGATTTGCCTGATCGAAAGCCTGCTTGTTGTGGAATGATCTTTTGTTCCAGAAAATAGCCGATTCGATTGAGTATCAGACGTTCTAATATTTTATATGTGTGGCATAAGAGAGAAACAGGTCGAAAGTTCTTAGGATCGTTTGGATCTTTCCCAGGTTTGAGCAGTGCAGCCACACGAGCTTTCCTCCATGCCTTTGGTATATGCATTTGGTTTATGCACATGTTCATGAGTCTCAACAACCATTGCATGGTATTTTTACCTAGGTTCTTTGGTTGTTCGACTCTGATCTCGTCAATACCTGGAGCTCTATTAGTCTTTAAGCTGGTAATGGCTGCAGTTAGCTCGGACATGGTAAATGGTTCTTCCAGGAAATGATTCTCACTTGCCACATCACGCACAACAGGCTCCCGGTATTTCCTTTCATAGGTTTTGCCATTTAAAAGAAGGTTGGTAGCGACTTGATTGGCAGTAACTGTTGTAAAGTTGTCTTTTGGTTTTGTCGCATCTCCATTTATGTTCTTGAGGAACTTCCAGGCCCGTCTGCCGTTCACCTGCATATCTAAACTCTCCACAAGATCACACCACTTAGTTTTGCGATTTTCGGCAATGACTGACATAAGCTCTTCACCTGCTAGAAGTGTGTTCTCAGCAAAGGGATCATTGTCAAAGAGACCTT